GTGAGAGCTACAGAGAAGTGACCAAAGCCTGAGGGATTGGCAGAGATAAGAAGAGTAGGGGCCAGGCAGCCAGGCACCTGCATTGAAGCATGTATGTGAATGCCCCATGGAGTCCTCTGGGACATCAGCTGCCCAGTGGCAAACCAGTTCAGCAATTTTTTTTTTTTTGAGACAGAGTCTTGTTTGTCACCCAGGTTGGAGTGCAGTGGTGAAATCTCAGCTCACTGCAAGCTCCGCCTCCCGGGTTCACCATTCTCCTGCCTCAGCTCCCGAGTAGCTGGGACTACAGGCACCCACCACACGCCCAGCTATTTTTTGTATTTTTTTAGTAGGATAGGGTTTTATTGTGTTAGCCAGGATGTCGGCCTCCCAAAGTGCTGGGATTACAGGCTTGAGCCACCGCGCCCGGCCGTCTCCTACTACTTTTATCAGGGAGTCCCTCAAACCAACATATGAGCCAACCCCGGAACAGACACACACAGGCATTGCTACCTGGCAGGGCCTGCTTCCGCCCCCACCCTGACACTTAGCTCTGTGATAATAATGGAGCCTGAGAGGCAGTCCTGATCCCACTGCCAGGGCACACAGCCGCAGATCCACTTCCATCATGTTCCTACCCTGACCTCCCTCCACACACCCTCTCTAACTAGCCCAGAAACCTTCTTCAGGAACTCTCTCAGGCACATGAGAACCTCTAGGAGGGCTGAGTCAGGACGTGAGCCAGCTGGACCGGGGCTCTTTCTGACACTGACACGGAGGAACAGGTGGTAGGTAAGCCGGGTGTCCTCCCCTAAGTTACGCTCAAGAGGAAGGGCTGTAACCCCACATGGCCTCTCAGCCTGGAATGTAGGTGCGGTCATATTCCTCCCATTTATATTTTTAGTGTGCACCTCCTTTGGGAGCAATGAGAGCCACACATTTGCTATTGGCTGTGTAAAGTCCCATTTCCTCTTTGCAAATGTCAAGTGTTATCTTAAGTTAGAGTTCATCCTGTCCTTGCCTTTTGCAATTACAGAGTCTTTGTTGACTGAGAGCAATCCACAGTGACAGCCTAAATTACAATTCACATTGTACTTAATACAAATCAATCAACATTCCACCACACCTCTCAACAATTCAATTAAGTCAGAATGCATTGTGTGTTCAGCACTGTGACACTCATTAGTCACCGAGAACACAGCACAGGAGGGATCACACAGACATCATCACTGTTTTTCTAATTTGCATCCTATCTTACTGGACTTAAGTCCTATTTACATAGGTTATCTCATTTACTTCATTCAACCATCCTGGCCAACATGGTGAAACCCCATCTCTACTAAAAATACAAAAATCAGCCAGGCACAGTGGCAGATGCCTATAATCCCAGCTACTTGAGAGGCTGAGGCAGGAGAATTGCTTGAACCCAGGAACTGGAGATTGCAGTGAGCCGAGATCACGCCACTGTATTCCAGCCTGGGTGACAGAGCAAGACTTCGTCTCCAGTGGGGAGAGGAGGGGAGGAAAGTGACATTAGGTTGTTTTGCAATATACAACATTGGCTGTCTTCCCTTGATTCGTTTATTCACTTTAGTTATATTTATTGAAAACTTAGTATGTGCCAGGCACTGTTAAAAGGGCTTGAAATATATCAGTGAACAGAACAGATGAAGATCCCTCCCCTCATGAAATTTACATTCTCATAAGGGAGTCAAAAAGCCATAGGCATAATGAATAAGTAAATTATATAATATGTTAGAGGACAATAACTGCTAGTTAAAAAAAAAGAAACCCTAGAGTAGTATAAGGGAGATATGGTTGCAATTTTAAATAGGGTGGTCATGGAAATCCTTGTTAAGCAGGTAACATTTGAGCAAAAACCTGAGAGAGGTGACAGGTGAGGTCTGTGAATATCTGGGAAAAGCATATCAGACAGAGGAAAGAGCCAGTGCAAAGGCCCTGAGGTGGGGCCAGTGGTGTTTGACTCACAGAAAGGAGGACAGTGGACCTGGAATGGAGAGAGGAAGGGGAGGGAATAGCAGGACAGAAAGTTGGAGAGGTGATGAGGTAGCAAGATTATGTAGGGCCATAGCATATATTGTCTTGATACAGCCAAAAGGATTTTCTAAAGGGTTGGATATAGTATGTGAGAGAAAGAGAAGATCAAGGAAGACTCTAAGGCTTTTGGCCTGAGCAACTGGACGGGTGGTGTTGCTGTCATCTGAGATCAAGAAAGCTGCAGGTACAGCTGCTTTCGGGGGACTAGGAAGTTCAGTGTTTGATGATCTGTGGACATTTGGATGGAGATGCTACATAGGCAACTGGATATTTAAGTCTGGAATTCAGGAGTGAGATCTGGGCCTGAGATATAAATTTGGGAGTTGGTTGTATACAGATGATATTTAAAGCCGTTGGATAGGATGAGCTCACTAAGTGAGTGAGTGTGGATGGAAGAGGGAATGGTTCAAGAGGGGAGTCCTGGGATACTTTAGTGGTAAGAAGTTGGAGAGAAAAGGAGAAAGCAGCAAAGGAACTTGAAAAGGAACAATCATGAGACTGAACCAGGAGCGTATGGCATCCTGGCAACCAAGAAAAGAAGGTGTATTAAAGAGGAGGGGGAAATTGATGGATGCCATGAAAAGTGACCATCAGACTCAGCAGCTTAGAGGTCATTGGTGACCTTAACAGGAACAGTCTTTGTGGACTGCTAGGGACAAAGTCTTATCGGTTTAAGAGAGTGAGAAGAGAGGAATTGGAGACAGTAAGTATAAACAGGTTTTTTTTTCTTTATGAGCTTTGCTAAAAAGGGAAGCAAATTAGTGGAGTGATAGCTAGTCAGGGAAATGAGGTCAAGAAAAAGAATTTTTATTTGTACAATTTTGCTTTATTTTAAGATGGAAGAAGTAACAGCATATTTCTCAGAAGGTTCACAGTCTTTGTGTTGGCTTTAAGGACATTATTTACATTCAGCTTAGCTCTTGCTCAAACACACCTGCTTCATATTTGGTACTCATTTCTTGTTTGGGAATTGTTCATAAGTACATCTAAGGTATAGGCTATGGCAGATTGTGACGACTGTTTGCTGAACTATTAGTCATGGACAGATTGTATTATTTTCAGAATTATTTCTCACGAGGCAAGAGAGATTAAGTAATTTATCTGACATCATACAACTGATAGAGGTAAAGTTGAAACATGAAACCACTTCTGGCCTCGATAACGTAGTTTACATCCTGATTGCAGTGCTAACAATTAGTGGGGAAAAGTTGAGAGGAGGAAATGAATAAAGGGTGTGGGGGAGGGGTATAGCAGAAAGGAAGGAAGAGGAGGTTAGTGGGAGATCTGGTAGGCAATGCAGGAATGAAAAGGATTATATATAATCTCTAATAAAGAATGTTTGGAAAGCTACCCTACCTTCAATTTGACAATTCATATAAACTACTTAACACAATGCCTGGCACCTCTTGACAAATGTTAGCTGCTAACATCATTATCATCATTTCCACTGTCTCTATCCACAAAAATACATCATGAACTCTGCCAGCCCAAAGTATTAGGGTCAATTAGATTATTAAAAATTGTGTAATTCTGCACCCTTTTCCTGCACTGTCCTAAGCATGTTTCCATTTTAACCCCAGCTTTACCACTCATCATTATTGTAACAAGGATTTATCACGCATCTGCTGCATGCCAGGCACATGTTATTGTTTATTTCCCATGCAAATGTAATTTAGCTTTGCATCATGGGCACATAGTGAGTGCTCAGAAATTCCTAGAGGAATAAACAAATGGAGAATGGGGTGCCCTTTGATTTTCTGTCCTTTAGAGTTTGTCTTCCTCTACGCCCTTTTTTCTGATTTCAGTCATCAGATCCTTTTGGTTACTTGAAGTGGCCAAGTTAAGAGCAATTTCATGGACCCAAATCCCAGGCCCATGCTTCGTCCACATGATGTAGCTTGGCATACCTCATCAGAAGCTTTTTCTCAAACTGAACTTTCCAGCTCTTTTTGTGTCCCTACCCCAATATTTTATCCTTCCTCAGTCTTAACATGAATAGTTGTCAGCATTTCAACCACTCTTCAGAGCACCAGAAGGCCCTTTCTTTCTCTATCTCAAAATCATAAGACTCAGAACCTTCTGCAGTCACTAGTACTACTAGCCATGGAACCACAGAACTGGAGCTGAGGAAAATAGGTGAGGAACCTGAGGCTCCAGGAAGTGATGGGTGAGTGAGTGAATGGCTGATCCCAGGGCTCCTGATACTAGACACCCCCATATCAGTGCACACAAGTGAAAGTCATCTACTAGACCTCCTTCAGGCAAGGTCATAGAGGGGTACTCCCACACAGCTTCTTCAGTGCAAGTACAGCTGTTTTCCAAGTGACTGTATGGTCTCTGTGCTCAGCATGGACACATTTTCTAGTTTAAACCTTTACTGTCTGCTTCTGACCCCTCTCAGGTCACTCTGACTGCTGAGACCTCATGTAGCTACATTTCCTGGCCCCGGAAAAGTCTCCATCTTCTTCTGACCAAAGAGCGATACATCTCCTGCCTCTTCTCGGCTCTGCTGGGTTATGATATCTCAGAGAAGCTCTACACTCTCAATGACAAGCTCTTTGCTAAGTTTGGGCTGCGCTTTGACATCCGCCTTCCCAGCCTCTACCATGTCCTGGGTCCCACTGCTGCAGATGCAGGACCGGAGTCCGAGAAGGGTGATGAGGAAGCCTGTGAACCAGCTGCGTCCCCTCCTCAGGCCACGCCAACCTCTCTCCAGCAAACACCTCCTTGTTCTCCCCCTCCAGCTGCCACCAACTTTCCTGCACCTCCTTCCCGGGCCAGGTTGTCCAGGCCAGACAGCGGCATCCTGGGTGAGGACTCCACCAGTCTGGTGCTGGAGGATTTTGAGGAGGTGTCAGGATCAGAATCATTTATGGATTATAGGAGTGATGGGGAGTACATGAGGTGAAGGGAGAACTAACATGGGCACAGCCACCGGCTCAGGATCCTATGTAAGTACTCAGAAGGCAGCTGCCGCACATTCCTGTCAACGGCTGGCCTTAACTCAGCTTGTTAGGGCAAAAAAAAAAAAAAAAAAAAATCATTTGTGGAACATCTCCTCTTAGAGGACTCACAGAAAGTGGCATTAACCCAACTTTGCAGATAGCAACTCACTCCGGGTGCATGCAAGGCATGAAGGGATTTTAAAAACTCATTCATTATTAACTGTGATTGCATTTTGGAAAGTGGGCTGGTTGATATGTTGAGCCAGGAAGGTAGATTGCTAAGCATTTTTGCAAGTTTGTTCTAATAGCTGAGGACACAGCTGGAGTTAAAGGGGCTTTTATTTGTGGCATGCATTTTAAAAGAAAAAGAATGTGGCAGGGTTCTAATTCCGATTGCTTGTCTTTCCTGGTATAGAGCCCGTCCTGGAAAGCAGTTGTTATTTAGCCTAGACTGGGCAGGCATCTCTATTAAAATTGCATATTTTAAAGAGAATTGTGATTATGGGCTAATAGCTCGGGGAGGAAAATGTCCTCATCTTGCTTTCCTCTCACCCAGTGAAGAATGTGTTTGTTGATCACACAGACAGAGGACTCGATACTGCTATGAATAAATGTTACTATGATCAGATAGGTATATGGCAGCCTGGCTTTCCCGTCACCCACACCTGTGGGAGGTAGGATGTGTATAAATCCTGGAGGGCCTCACGGTGCGTGCAGGATTTCCCTCACAGAATTTCCCTCCCCAGAGAGTCCACAAGAAAGTCTGTGCCCAGTGGTTCTGGGAAATTGCTCTCGTGTTCCCCCGGCCCCCTCACAATGCTGTGAGGTTTTTTTCTGTAACTCCACCCAACCATGATGTAGGCCTGAATTTCCTGAGGAAAATCCCATTGTTCCAATTTGGAAGGCGCTTCCCACTGTTCTTTAGAAAGCACCAATAAATTACCTGAGAAATTAGCCCAGTGAGGAAGGTCTCCAGAGTACATGAAATGAATGAGTGAATGTTTGTCTGTTCTGAAAAACAGGTTATATAAACGATGAAAGAGGGCCCGGAGGTGACTGATGAAAGGTTAGAGATTTGGTTTTGTAGATAGGGAATTTACAATCTCCTGTGTTACCAGCGTCCTTAGAACCATAGTTCAGCTGATTCTGAGGTAATTCCAAGGATCAGTCTAACACTCCAGATCACTTTGTTGAGTTCCTCCAAGTGTGTATTGGCCACTCTGATCACTCCTTTCCCTCTGCACAGCTGTTCGCCTTCCTACTCATTCATCCTGCATCCACGCATGCTCCTTATGACCTGTGGATCCCTCTTGGTCCAACTTGCCCATCCACCTATACACTCTCTCTTGGACTCACAGCAGCTCTGTTTTCTCATGTTGTTCTTCCTGGTTTTCTTCTCTTTCCTTGGTTCTATTTTTCTCTTCTTTCTTCTCCAATTTCTTCTTAGTCCTTGATTCCTTGATTGTCTCCATTTGCTGTTTTGTTGTTTTTTTTTTTTTCCTTTCCTTTCTTGAGACAGGGTCTCACTCTGTTACTCAGGATGAAGTGCAGTGGCACGATGTCAGCTCACTGCAGCCTCTACCTCCAAAACTTCAAGTGATCCTCCCACCTCAGCCTCCCAAGTAACAGGGATTACAGGCACATGTCACTGTGCCTGGATAATGTTTAATTTTGAAATGTTTTTTGTAGAGACAAGGTCTCCCCATGTTGCCCAGGTTGTTCTCGAACTCCTGGGCTCAAATGATTCTCCTGCCTTGGTCTCCCAAAGTGCTAGGATTACAGGCATGAGCCAGCTTACCTGGCCAATTTGCTGCTCTTAAGTGTCCATTTTCTTCCGTCTTCTCAGTTTATTTCTCCCTCTTCAGTTGTCTCTTGTTTTCTTCCATTTTGTTGTTCATATATTTATCTCTCCTATTACCTCCTTTTTTCTTTCCCACTTTTTTTGCCTTGCTCTATGTATTCTTCCTCCTAAACACCCTGTACCCCCATCTTATTAGTTTTTAATCCTAACTCTTCCAAAGATCAGTACTTTTCCCTCTGCCTATAAAGAAAACCATACGGCCGGGCGCGGTGGCTCAAGCCTGTAATCTCAGCACTTTGGGAGGCCGAGGTGGGCGGTTCACGAGGTCAGGAGATCAAGACCATCCTGGCTAACACGGTGAAACCCCGTCTCTACTAAAAATACAAAAAAATTAGCCGGGCGTGGTGGCGGGCGCCTGTAGTCCCAGCTACTCAGGAAGCTGAGGCAGGAGAATGGAGTGAACCCAGGAGGCAGAGCTTGCAGTGAGCCGAGATCCGGCCACTGCACTCCACCCTGGGCGACAGAGCGAGACTCCGTCTCAAAAAAAAAAAGAAAAGAAAAGAAAACCATTCAAGTGAAGGTGTAAAATCCCCAACTTCAGGAATATTTTTCAAACATCAGGAGGCAGACAGCACGGTAAATGAGAAAGAGACCAGGACTGGGAATCCAAAGTCCTGGCTTCTATGTCTGGCTTTGCTACTGATCAAATACGTGACTTTTTTGCAAACCATACAACCTCTCTAAACCTTACTTTCTTCGTTTGAGCGTGTTCGACCAGCTGTCCCCACGAACCCTCTTGGATTTATCTGAGAAGGCAAGGATAAGTTTTTCAAAGGAAGAAAAGAGGAGCAGTCAGACCGCAGTTCAGTAGACACGAGCCCCAGGACATCTGAGTGTCTTTCAGCAAGAACTCTCTGTGGTGTTTCACTACAGTTTCTCTGCCACCTTGGGACTCTCCCCCACCCTTGTGGTGGTGGGTCTTGCTTCACTAGAAGTTCCCTCCATTCTGTGGCTGTGAAGAATCTATCACTTACCATGTGATTGCAGTTCTCTCTCTCTCTCTCTCTCTCTCTCTCTCTCTCTCTCTCTTTTTGAGACAGTCTTGCTCTGTCTCCCAGGCTGCAGCGCTGTGGCGCTGTACGCTTCGCCTTCCGGGTTCACGCCATTCTCCTGCCTCAGCCTCCGGAGTAGCAGAGACTACAGGCGCCTGCCGCCACGCCCGGCCAATGTTTTTGGTATTTTTGGTAGAGACAGGGTTTCACCGTCTCCATCTCCTGACCTGGTGATCCGCCTGCCTCGGCCTCCCAAAGTGCTGGAATTACAGGCGTGAGCCTCCGCGCCCGGGCTACAGTGCAGATATTTTATGTGAGAGGAGATCACAACTCACTCCCCAAGCCCTCAACCCTTAATACATACATGCCTCTTTCCAAATTCAACCTTTTCTAAAACTCAAGATGAGAAAACTGCTGATGAGGCTCACTTTCTAAAATACCGGAATTTGCAATATGGAGAGAATAGGTTTTTCATGTTTCTTTGTTTAAGCAATAGAGAGAAAAGAAAATTATGTTGTTTACTTTTTAGGCCATAGAGGTTTTCAGACCAACTTGAAAACATGATCAAATTAGCCAAACTTCTGACAGTTTTCAGTGTAGTCTGTGATAATGGGATAATTTAGCCTCAGTTCTTTTTCTGGAATTGTGTTTTGAATGTTTGGTTTTACTTATTTACCATCAAACTTGCTGCAAGGTTATTACTGTAACTAATAGGCCTATTCCCTTATGATTGGGAGCAATTTACTGTTGTTTCTTTCACAAAGTACGGCACCATTCACTATCTATTTCCTGGCTCTTTAGTTATCAAAATTTTAAGCTCATTGCTATTCATCCCATCACAGCACTTATATGAGAGGCATGAAGTTGGCTGAATTCTGCATCATTAGGGATGACACAGTCTCATTACATTGATACCAGCGCTTGTCTCTCACACCAATCCAAATTAAGACCAACTGAAAATAGCCAAAGTTTCCTCTTGAACTCCTTGTTGAAGACACATATGTGTTTTAGTCTGGTGGTACCCAAAATTGAACAAAAAAATGGGTGCTGCTTCTCTTAACAGTCAAAATTATGCTGCAGGATAATGTATTCATGCAGGGTCTTCCAGTCAGACCCCAAATTATCACTGCCTTCACTAGAATTTTTCTGTTTAATTCTATGGCCACTCTCCACAGGAATCCATTCTGTGTCTTACTTATAGGAGATGCTCAGTGAATGAAGGATTTATCTTCTAGAAATGCAGCTCCGATGTAGTCTGTTGAGTGAAATAATGAATCCATTATCACAGACTAAATTGAAAGATGTCTGACATCTGGAGGATTTTAATTTTGTTTCACATTGTTCTGAAAACTCTGTGGCCTGGAAAGCGAAAACTGTACTGTTTCTTTTCTCCCTATTATTTAAATAAACAAATGATGAACAGATTACAAAATGGAGGACGCTCGAGGTCAGGGAAGGAGCCCCTCGACAGGAGGATCAGGACATAGTACCAAGGGCCAGAGAAATGATTCGATAAACACTTACTATTTACCATATATTTCAGGCATGGTTCTAGGTAATCACATGATAAGTAGCTGAAAGAACTGAAAATGTTTAATCTGCAAGAAAAGGGCAAATGTAATATCTTCAAATTTTAAAAAGAATGTGAATTAGAATTTGACTTAATTTGGTGTAGTTTTTGTGGGCAGAAATTGAATGGCTGAAAGTTACAAGAAGGATTTTAGCTTAGTATTGATACTGGATTGTTCATGGGTAGTGAGAGTTACTTATCACTGGAAGAGTTCAAGCAGGGGCCAAAAGAAATCTCAGAGATTTTATAAGGTGATTCACCTCTGGGAAAAGGATGCCTTGGATTATTGCTGTTAGAGTACCTTCTAACTCTAGGATTCTGTGGTTCTAAGATCTGGACTCTAGCCTTGCCATTCACCTGCCATCAAGAGCAGGTTCCTCGTCTGAAGGACAGGACCAAGATGTTTCTGTCTACCTTACCGGGTTGCTGTGAGGAGCGATTGTGATAACATACATAAAGGCAGTTTTTAAGCTGTGAAGCACTAGTTAAATGTGTAGCGTATTTTAAGATTCTGTTGTATGTACAATTATTTAGCAGTCTCTCTCTCTCTTTCTCTTTCTTTTATCAGAGATAGATGATTTTCCCTCTTATTTCCCCCAGTTTGGCTTTTCAGGGAAGGTGGCAGCTGGCAGAATCCCCTGACAACAAAAGGTACAGCAAAAAGTGGAGGCCTAAAGAAAACATGTGCTAGCCCCTTAGCCTCTGAATAATGAAGTCACACCCCAGTCTGCTCTCCTTCATCTGTTTGGGAGGAGGCAGATTAGAGTCATCAGGCTCTTCCCCTCAGAAGCAGCTGTAAGGTATTTGGTAGCTGTCAGTGCTAGCAAACAGCACTTTTCTCACAGAACTACTGGAAAGAGTCCTGGCACAGAAAACTTGCTCTTGAAAGTGACACCGCCAGAACAGTGGTCTCTAGAGGGTCGTGCCACCTCTACCTGCCACAGGTTCCATTGTCAGTCAGGTAAGTTAGAGGCAGCAGATCCTCGCCTGCCCTCTGGATCACAGCAGCCTGGGGCTGCTCCCAACTCATGTTTCCACTTCTGCCTTACAGGCCTCATTTTCCTACCCATCTTTCTGTAAAAATGAAAGTCAGGAGTCTTATGAAACTTACCATTATTCAATACAGGCTTTTGGTTTTTTTCTTTAAATTAGATAGGGTTAGGTAAGAAGTAGAGTTCTGTAGAATGTTCATATGAAGCAACAAAAGTTGATCTCTTGATCTCTACAATAGGAGAGGATTGGGCTAGATAACTTCAAAGCTGACTTGCCCTAATATTCTAGTACGAAATGATTCAAAGGTACACCTGCCCCTCTCATGTCAGGCAGTGAGTACAGCTAAAACACTGGGAATTGATAGAGGAAAAGAAAAAAATTGAAAAGAACCCTTTGAAGTTAGACAAACGGTCCAGAGACATAGTGCTAAAATCCTCCCTCTTTTTCTTTCCACAGCTTCTAGAATTCCTCTCCAGAGTTACTCTCCAGTTATATCCAGGGGACAGGCCCCTTTGGCTCCAACCCACACGCCTGAACTTTAAGGATCATTGGACTGTCTTCTCTGTGGCCGGCACAGCTCCCTTCTGTGTTCACAGAATGGCCACTGATAGGCACGCCTCTTTCCCCACCCACTGGAAGGCTCACAGGCAAGGTGAGAGAGGACACAGAAGGTGCCAACACTGTCGCTATAGTAAGGACCTTGAGTGACTTTGAGAAATTCACCCTCGCAAGCCTTCCTTCAGGAGCAGGCATTGGAAATGCAGAGGCGCAGATTCCATTCTTTACCAGCTGCAGAATCTTGGGCAAGTTGCACGGCCTCTGTGAGCCTCATCGGTAAACAGTGGGGGTAAGGAAACCCACCTCACAGGGTTGTTGTGAGGATCCGATGAGTTGATTTAGGTAAGCACCTAGCACATGGCGTGGCACCAAGTAAGCACTCAATAAATCACTCAATTCCTTTCCCTATGTTGTTTCTTTGCATTGTCTGAAAGGATCAGTGGAGTCAAAGATCCAGCTTTTCACTGGTGATTATTTTTTATTTTTCAATTAAGATTCAAATTTATGGAAGTCGAAATTTAAAAACCTCGTTTTCCCTTAGACTGTGACATTTAACTTACATCTCTTTTTCTATTGATGAACCTAGTATTAAACAATAGTTTTTAGAGGAACTTCTACAAACTTAGTTTATTAGATTTTCTTAAACATCTTAAAGTAGATTTATAAATTTAATATATTCTATTTTCCTTTTTCTTTAAACACTTCAACAATATTTCAGTTATCTATTGCTGTGTAATATCAATCCCTAAAATAGTGACTTAAAATAGTCCTAATAATTTGTTGTGCCCATGAGTGTGGGGCCTGACTGGGCTCAGCTAGGCGATTCTCACTCAAGGTTTCTCATGTTGTTTCAGTCAGATAGTGGTTCAGTCTAGAATCATCTCTAAGGCTTCTTCACTCACCTGTCTGGGAAGACTCAAACAGCTGAGAGCTGAAACAGCTGGGAATCCTTGGACATCTCTCCCTCTCAGTAGCTTTTTCATTTTTGTTGCTGTGTACTCTTTGTATCACTATACCACAATTTATTTATCCAATCTACAATTGATAGGCATTTGGATAGTTTCCAGCTTGGGGCAATTACAAATAGCGCTGCTAAGAACATTCTTGTACATGTCTTTCGGTATACATATGTATACATATCTTGGATATATACCTAGGAATGGAATTACTCAGGCATTGGGTAACCCTAGAGGGCTGTTGTGGAGAGTAACCAAAGCAATAAACAAACAACAAAAAAGTACACTGGGCCGGGTGCAGTGGCTCACACCTATAGTTCCAGCACTTTGGGAGACCGAGGCAGGTGGCTCACTTGAGGTCAGGAGTTCAAGACCAGCCTGACCAACACGGTGAAACCCCGTCTGTACTAAAAAAATACAAAAGGTAGCTGGGCGCGGTGGCAGGCACCTATAATCCCAGTTACTCGGGAGGCTGAGGCAGGAGAATTGCTTGAATAAGCTGAGAGGCAGAGGTTGCAGTGAGCCAAGATTTGCACCATTGCACTCCAGCCTGGGCAACAGAGCAAGACTCCGTTTCAAAAAAAAAAGTACACTGTACAGTGTAAATTGAGAGTCAACATAACCTGGATGTGGTGCCACTGCCCAACCTGGAGGATCACCAAGGCAGGGCTGTCATTACACACCTATGGCATATAGCAGTGGTTTCTCAAGATGAGGACCTCTTTAATCCCTTTTCTCCGCCAAAGAATCAGACCTTACATTGTCGAAGTTGTGCTTTTATTATCTAATGGTGTATGTAAGGCAAAAGACATTTGGATTTCAGTAGGATTTTTAGATAAATTTACAGGTTTTAAAAATTCGCCACAACAGTCTCTTTATATATTTGAAAAATAGCATTACATATATGTATAAAGCAAAAACCCGTGAGAGACCATGGGGAGAAGAATTGCCTGGAGGGGAAACTAAGTCCATCTCCAATGTTCAGTACCTCTTCTCTTTCTGTTTTTCTTTTTTTGAGACGGAGTCTCGCTCTGTTGCCCAGGCTGGAGTGCAGTGGCACAATCTTGGCTCACTACAAGCTCTGCCTCCTGGGTTCACGCCATTCTCCTGCCTCAGCCTCCTGAGTAGCTGGGACTACAGGCACCCGCCACCACATCTGGCTAATTTTTTGTATTTTTTAGTAGAGACGGGGTTTCACGGTGTTAGCCAGGATGGTCTTAATCTCCTGACCTCGTGATCCGCCCGCCTCGGCCTCCCAAAGTGCTGGGATTACAGGCGTGAGCCACCGCGCCCGGCCGCACCTCTTCTCTTTCTATTTTTGACACCCATTGGGTTTCCTGTAGACACCCATACAAATCTTGAGGTAGAAGTGAAAACAATACTGTCAGCAGTTTTACGTCTGTCGTTGTCTTTGATTTCATGCACTGACATGTGCCTCCTACTCGGAAATTTATCTGGTGATTATACTTTATTTCACTGTGGTTCACTTCTGTGATATCATCCTTCCTGAAAGTGTCTTCACCCAGCACATGATCACCAACTGTCACATGATTGCGTCACTGCCACAGGGGAGCCCAGGACACAGCACAGAAATCAGCTTAGTCCAGCCTGTAAACTGAGCCTTTGCTTAATAGCCTGGAATTGCCCTCCACCCCTCAGCCCTCAGGCTTGAAATCCTATTCACCCCTCAAACCTAATACACATGTCCTCTCCCTATGCACACTCTCCTGGCCTTCACCTCACCCTCAGCATTGACCAATCCCCTTCAGGACTCGCAGAGTCCTCTGGGTCCACCCCCCTCAGCTCTCATCCCTTGCTAGGCACTTGAGGGCTGGGGAAGTCTTACTTATTTGCTGTGGCCCCAGCACCTCACACAGGGCCACTTGTGTGACATTTAGTTGGTAATGCTTAAATGTTGGTTAAACTCAGCTGTTAACTGCTAGTAGGACAATTCATGTGCGCATTTCGGCAAGGGTAAGGTTAACACTTGGGGTTTTAGAGATTTCTAGTTCCACTTTCCAGTTTTCTTTTCTTCTCTCCCTATTCAAACCAGCAGGAAAAGAGAGTAGTAGTTCAGGGGTTGGTGCCAAAATCCAGAGCCTTATCAGGGGGAATACACAAGAAGGGACAGATCTCAGATGCATTTTAAGATATTGAGAGACAGAGTCTGAGTATAAATTGGGGGAAGGAGGCAAACGGCTTTAAAAAAATTTTTTTTTAGCACTGTGATGTTCTGAGTCAAAGATGACTCAGGCTTCAAGCCTGGATGATTGGATCGTGGTGGCAGCTATTACCATAAAAAGTGGAGGAATAACTGGGGAAGATGTTGATTTCCTTTTGGATGGATTGAGTTTTGACTCTTGTCAGGACACTAAGTGGACACAGAAATGCAAACAGTTGTTTTCATAGATGAGGGTAAATGCTAAGGATCAGAGAGGATTCCAAGGCCTTCTTAGGGCCTAGGAAGACTCAGGCACTGGATACTCTCATCACCCCCATGTTCTTCTTAAGGGTACGAAACCTACCTCCTCTGAGATGATGGGGCAGGGGGGAGTTGTGATGGTCATCCCAGGGCTTGGGGTGTGCCCAAGAGTGAGATCAGATATGTGTTTGTGGCTGTAGGGAGCAGCATATGTCACTTTCAGAATGTCAGACTTGGGACCACTCAACCAGGAGATCAAGGGCTGGGTGAGAATTCAGCAATTACAGAAGATTTATGTTTCAATGTAATATCCTTTTTCCTACAGAGATTTAAAACTTTTAAAAGTTTACACATACAATTTTAAAACAAGATGAGTACATGAAGGCCATTCCTGACACTTATGAAAAGACATTAAGCCCTCCTTTAAAGTTAAGCCTCTCTGTACCTGACTTTCTCTCCCTGCCTTTGTCTATACCACTAAGATTACTGCCTTTAATTCAATTCACGGAACTTTTATTGTATGCTTACAATGAATTACAGTGTTTTGGGGACACAGCGAAAGAGAAAACATAGCCCCTGCTTTTAAAGACCTTACAATCTCATCATAGAGATTGTAATGGTAACTGGCGTTACCATTATTGTAAGAACAACCCAAAGCCTCTCTTCTCGCGAGGTATTCCTGATGCCAAGATTCTCATCTTTGACCTGGGGCAGAAGAGGGCAAAAGTGGTTGAGTTTCCACTCTGTGGCCACATGGTATCAGATGAATGGAGCCCTGGAGTGACATACATGCAGTAAGCTATTAACCACCATTGCAAGGCAGCATAGTTACTGACTGATAGAACATATGGGTGACCAGGTTCCCTGGGTAAGATAGAAATGGAAGTGGACCCTGAATTATTGGTAGAATATAAAAGTGCGGGGGTGGGAAGGAGAAGGAACAAAAAGACATGGAGATGACATTGACCATAGTATGTTTTAGGGGAATACTGGCTTCAGCACACTGGGGAAAGTGGCAGATAATTTTAGTTAGGCAGAGTAGGGCCAGACTGAAGAACCCTATTGAGCTAATACATCTTGGTTGCAAGTGCTAGAAACCAACGTGAACAGGCTAAACTGTACAAAAACATGGTGGTTAGAGCTCAGATTCTGAAGTCAGATGGCCTTGATGTGAATCCTGATTTTATCCATTGCTAACTATAGTGGACAAGTTACTTAATTTCCTTGTCCCTGTTTCCTCATATGTAAAATGAAGTAATACACGGATTTATTGGGAATATTAAATAAGATAATTTGTGTAAGCTAACTGAAACTTTACCTAGCATATACTAACTGCTCAGGAAGTTTTATCTTTTTTGTTGATAATGTTGACGATGTTGATAATTATGATGACGAAGCGAAGGAGAACTTAAAAGGACACGGAGGTGCCTTATAGAATTCAAAGACAGAAATGCCTCCAGATTTTAATATGGGACTAGATCAGAAAGCCATCAGGGAAAGCAGAAAGCCGTCAGGGACCCAGTCACCATCTTCTGTTTCTGTTTCTCTTAGGAGAACTGCAACATGTTTCTGTTTTCCAACAGAGCAGTCTTTCCTGTTTCTCTGTTCTCACAGTGGAATATGTTCGCCCTCAGCTCCTGAGTTCATATGGAACAATTCCAACTACCAGAAGACAAGTATGGCAGCCTCTTAGTTGTAATTTCAGACTTTCAGGAAGGAAATCTACCTTGTCCAGATTCAGTCATGTGTCTACTTCTGGTCCACTCACCTGGGCCTGAGGACCGGGTCATGCAGTACAATTGGGGCTGCCCATCTTCTAGATGGAGGTCAGTTCTTAGAGAAAGGAATGACTCTTAAGTTCAAAAGACGCTCATGCTCTTTCCCTTCGGCGTGCCACTGAAGATTCTGGTGTCACCACGGGCCGCCGCCCCACTGGCGTTACCATTTCTCGCGAGGTATTCCTGATGCCAAGATTCTCATCTTTGACCTGGGGCAGAAGAGGGCAAAAGTGGTTGAGTTTCCACTCTGTG